TCAGTCCCCGGCTGGTAAGTTGAGTCCTCATAGGACCAATAGGTCTCACTCTCGGTATCAACGTGGACATCGCTCACGGTTTGACGTTGGCCTCCACGGCCCCTTCCTCTTGATCCCCTAGAGGACCCCCGGCTACCGCGCTCGGACCCACCCGGTGCACGGCCCAACGGGTTCCTTCTAGTGATCCTTCCAACTGGTTCCATTTCTGAAAGAAATTAGAATGAGTCATTAGACTCGTATCGAATGTCAAATGACGGACGGGTACTTAAAGACATCCTTCGGCTCAAATCACCGCCATACCAATTGTTAAGGGTACCATCTTAACAATTAGAGGCATTGCAACTCAAGTACCAAAAGTTCTATAAGTACAAAACTTATGCTCATGGTTTTTCAAATTCATTTTCAAAAAGAAATTTTGAAGCTTCATTATGATGTTTACGGACTAAGGCTCTGATACCATTTAAATTGTCACGCCCCGGACCTACCCGGACACGTCAACAACCCGCCGTACAGTACGAATAGTCAATCGCAGTCCGACTCATCCATACTATACAAGGCGTCTTGAATACCATTCACACATAGCACATCCATAAACAAACATAATGTAAAACATTTGTTAAAGCAGCGGAAACAATTGATACAAGTGTTCAAGCCACACTTGGCATAATTAGGCATGCAAGCCCCCAAAGTAATTATTCAAAAAATATTATCCATGATCATTATTCATATTGTTTTCAAAACGAGAACGGAAGAAGCACGAACCTAGTCTTCTTCTCAGAAACTTCCCGAACAGCGGCTGGTAGTAGCAACCTTCAAGTTCTACCTGAAACTGTGAGGTGGCCTCCCCCGTGAAGGGGAGGTCAGTACTTGGAAGCATTTGACAAGTACAATGACAACTATACTAAGTATAATCGAAGTTTAAATCTCTAAGGCCCTCAATCTAGAGCATCATTACATTATAGTTAATCCGTTCATTTAGTATCAATTCATCATTATTTACTACGGTCTAGAGCCCAGCTCATAATCACCGTTATCTACTACGGTCTAGAGCCCCGCTCATAATCACCGTCATCTACTACGGTCTAGAGCCCAGCTCATAATCACCGTCATCTACTACGGTCTAGAGCCCAGCTCATAATCACCGTCATCTACTACGGTCTAGAGCCCAGCTCATAATCACCGTTATCTACATCGGTCTTGAGCCCGGCTCATAATCACTGATTCTTTATAATTCAAATTCTTAGGATCTAATTCATCCATTTCTCAACTAACATTTCCAACTAATATTTCAATGCTAGTTATTTATTTATTTCAATATAATTCTTTCTTCATGCATGATTTGCCTTAATATCAAGTATCACTTTCATACCTTCATGGCTTCTCCTCATGGCATCAAGTATACTATCTCAAATGAAATTCATGGTTGGTACAACCATCATACACACATAATCATAACATCTAAACATACACAATTTATTCATAAATTTGTGTATCATGCATACTATACTTAAAATCAATAGTAGTTTTATTTAGGCATTAATAACCATTAACAACCCATGCACATCACATTTGTATTCACTTAGGAAATCCCATGAAATTAACCCAAAGATTATAAGTAACATAGTCGGTCATCCTCACCTTAATTAAGCTTAAGCGCGTTCTATGCTTCTCGATTGAACTTTGACTAATTCCGGTGAACTTTGACCAACTCCGGCGAACTTTGACCAACTCCGGCGAACTTTGACCAACTCCGACGAAACTCCGGCGAAGCTCGAAAATACTTTAAATCAAGTTCCTTAATTTTCACACTTTTTCCTAGCTTTTTCCCTCTTAAACTTTCTTCTTGGACTCCCTTGAGCTTGAGTTCGGATTTGGGGCTATGGAGATGAAGTTGTAGAGGTTCCTTCCTCCTTTCCCTTGCTGCTGGCCGAACTAGTGAGGAGGGGGATGGGTAGGAATGCCCCTTTGTCTCCTTTTGGGCAATGAGTGAAAGGGAGGAGGGCCACCATGATTTGTTTTGATGCCAAACATCTCAAATCAGTCCTCTCCCACCTCAACTCTCCTACCAGCCTGCTCAGGCCCTGAATAATGAGGCTAAAATCGTGGGTTGGCCCCCACCCATGTGGGAGGTCAACCCTTTTTGTCCAGAAGTGTATAATCGGTCCCGAAAGTTGTATTTTTCCGGACTGTTTTAAGTATATTTTATTTTATCGGGTCAAATAAAATATAACACTTGTTCCCAATTCTTAATGGACCTTAGAATCAATATGCATCCCTCAACTTTAATTTAGAAGTCTCCGAAATCCCCTTTTGGGCTGTTATCTGATAGATTGCCGATACTGATAATTTGGCCCCGTTTGACCAACCGGTCAACCCTATGCCATTGTCATGGCTCAACTAGGATATCCACCACCATATACATATTATCTAGTCCAAGATCAATATAATATGTGGCCCCGATAATATCGGGCGGTCCCCACTCCCGATGTGGGCCCCACGTGCATTTTACTATTCACGCGAAAAAAAAATTAATACAAATTCACAACTTCGTAAATTCACTAAAAATTTCATAGAGTTCAATAAATTATTAGCTTAAAGATAAATACATTTGGGGACGGTGTTACACCTTGAGAAGTTCCCGGGGCGGAGTACTGTTTGGAGGAGGGCCAGGAGGGTCTCGTCGTCAGCGCCATCAACTTTATCAGCCTCCGTCCTCCAGCGCTCCAGGAAGTCCCGAAGGGTCTCCTCCTTCTTCTGCCTCACTGTTAGCAAGTGGGAGAAGTGTTTTCTTGTGCGGCGCCTCCCCGCAAATTGCGTCAAGAATCGCTGGGCGAGTTCTTGCCATGAGTCAATGCAGCCCTCGGGCAATCGATTGAACCATTCGTAAGCTGGCCCCTCTTGGGTGGAGAGGAACCAGCGGCACAAATATTCATCCGATGCCCCCACCATCATCATACTGTTTTGATACCTGATGTAGTGCTCTTGGGGTCAGTCTTTCCGTCATAGGGCTTGATGAGCTGCCCTCGGTATTTTTCCGGGATCCGGGCAGCCAATACCCTTGGGGTAAATGGCGTCCGGGTCTGGAGCTGTATGGTGGGTTCCCCGGAGCCCTCGGCTATCTTCTTCCGCATTTCTTCCATCTTGGCCATCATTGCCTCATACTTGATGTCTGTATGAGGGGCAGAAGTGGTGGCGTGGGCTTTGGTGGCGCTGGAGGGCCGCGATGATTTCGTCCCGGGGGTCCTTCGGGAGGGCCTCCTCCCCTGCGAATGGACCCGGGCCGAGTGGGCTTGATTGATTTGATGGCGTGCGTCGTCGGCATGGAGAGGTGCCTTGCCTTTGTCCTGAGGGGGACGCCTTTCATTGGCCCTAGAGACGGACCCGCCACTTTCCTGAGGCCTTTGGAACGCCTTCCCCCCGAGGCGGTCTTGGACCCCTCGGCGGTCTTGCGCCCCTCCGAGTCTAGCGAGGCCGGAGGTCCGGAGCTGTTCCTTGTTCACGTTGTGGCGGTCCTGGGACTGGACTTCCTGGGAGGCCGTATCTTGGGCCACGACCCCCTCGGAGTTCCCCATCCGGAGGACCGGGTTGCCGAGGGGTCGTGGATGAGGGGGAAGCATAATATTCTCCCCCACCTGAGGTTGGAGGGGAACCAAAGTGCCGAAGGCACCCGAGTTCTGGGTGAGCGTCTGGATGAAGGCGGAGAGCGCCGATTGTACGTCTATGGTGATGACCGGAGGGCTAATTTGATTTTCGCTCCGGTCCTTCTTCTTGGCCTCGATGCCGAGGCGGGCATCGGGGGCATTTTGCTGAATCTGCTGGCGTAGGTCGACAACCGTCTGGTCCAACCCGGCGATGACGCTGCCCCCGGGAGCCCTGTTGGAGGCTTCGGGGACGTCGACCTCGCCGAGGGCCAGGTTCCTGTCCTCTACATTCTTGGAGTTGGCACGAGTTGTTCTCACCATTTTAGATGGGTGTTTTTGTGTTTGGTCGAGGGGGAGGGTTTCTTACTTGATTGTTCGAGCTCTCAACGAGAGCACCAAATGATGGATAGTGTACCCGGGGGTAGCTTATCCGAGGGGTTATCACGGAGAATAATAAGATAGAAGTCAGAGCAAGTAAGTATAGAGAGAGAAAGTATATTTAGAAAGTATGCAGCGTTTTCAGCGTGTTATGACTTGGTTACAAATGGGGAAATGGGGTGCTATTTATAGTAGCAATAAATGCCAGACAGGGACACGTGTCAAGCGTCTATTGGCCGAGAGGTCATCTCAATTGGTTGGCGCTGGCAACCGCATGTGGCCGCATTTAATGCGGCTGTTGGATGGGACGTTGTACAGGGTACGGTGATCCATACGCATGTGGAGCGGATATTATGTCGGAAGAGGCGCCCTCGGCAGTAGATGACAAGCCGAGGGCTCTGAGTACCAGGGACCCCCTTAGTGCCGAGGGCTCCAGTTGCCGAGGGCTACTGATTTTCGCCGTTTTTCCCAGTAACTTTGTTTTCCTGTCTTGGCCCTCTTGTGAGAGTTAGAGTCTTCGGCCAGGGGGGCGAAGGCACCCCTGGTGCGCATTGTGGGCTGCTTGGTACTCTGGACGCTGTGATTTGGGCCTGTTGTGCTTTCTGGGCCTGTTGGGCCTTTATTAGAGTAGTAGGAGTCTGTGGGCCGGGGGTTCCCGGGCCATATACTCCATCATATGTTTTATTTTAATACTTCCTCCGTCCCTGAAAATACTTCCAACTTCCCCTTTTCGTTCGTCCCAAAAAGAATTTCCATTTCCTTTTTTGACAAAGAATTTGTGGTTCATACCATTTCTTTCTCCTCTGCATAACTCTCCACCACACAATTCTCACTTTCTTAATCCGTGTGACACTTTATTTTGGAAGTAAATTATGGGACGGAGCTAGTAATATTTTTTTATAAAAGACTCATAGGGTAGTGGAAAAGTCAAATTTAAAACATTTCTCATTGAGGTTGATGACATGAGTCAAAGATGATGGAGCTAGCTACCATTGAACCAGAACCACAAAATCTACCCACCCTTAATAGCCTCAACCAACGATCCTTATAATTACAAATCCACCCGCTCCTTTCATCCCATTCAATTCCCAAACATATACTCATAACTACTCTGCATTCCTGCTCGAGTATACATCCGACTATTTAGAGCTTAATAGCCGGAAACAATGTCTGCGCCACCGTCCGTCACCGAAATCGAAGTAGAGAACCACGTGTTTCCGGCGGAGGTGAAGCCGCCGGGCTCCGTGAACACATTGATCCTTGGCGGTGCAGGGGTGAGAGGGTTGAACATCGACGGGAAGTTCATCAAATTCACGGCTATAGGCGTCTACTTGGAAGCTGACGCCGTTTCATCCCTCGCCGTTAAGTGGGGCGCCAAAACCCCAGACGAGTTGACGGATTCGGTCGACTTTTACAGGAACATTGTCACCGGTAAGTTCAAACTACCTCCCTCCCAAATTAGAATTAGTGGTGAAATAAATAAATAAAAACTTACCTCTATCCCATTTTATATGTAGTACTAAGTATATTTTACTTTGATTTGATATAATAATTAATAATGTTGTTGAAAGAGTAAAATTGTTGTAGATCATATTCTTCCGTCATCGTTCTTAAATAAATGCAACATGTTGAATTTTACATTATTTATCTGTACTACTTTGACTACGTTTTATTTACTAATGTATTATTAATATAATTAGTATTAATGTTGTATTATTTACATGTTGTATTATTAGTTTATTACTAATATAATTAGTAATGTAATTATTACTAATGTTCTTAAATCTGAATTTTATAATTTTTTAATAATATTGAATTAAATATATCAATGGTCAAAGTTGTGCATTTACGAACGTGAAAAGTTGCCTATTACATTTATTTAAGAACGCAGATAGTATTTATTTCCAAAGAGGAAAATGTTTTTTTTGAAAGGCCAAAAAAGAAAATGCTAAACACTTATTTTGAGATAACTCGAAAAGAAAAGTAATTCAGATAAAATGGGATGGAGTGGGTAGAATTATGTAATTAATGTTTGCACACAGGAAAAGAAATAAGAAGATCATGAATTATTATTTTTTGAATGTAAATAGATTTATATTAAAATCATGACAAAATAAAAAAATTACAATTCAATTAAAGTCAATGAGAGTTAAGTTTGAGGCAAAGAAATAAAAAAATCCACAAATTATTTACTTTAAAAAATTCAATTAGACGTGAGTAATAAATATTGTTTCTCTCTTTAGAATGGCAAATTTGTGGATCAATGAAAAAGAAATGGAAAAATTATATTGAAGCAAAAACTACAGTATTTCCAAACTATTACGGACTCATTTTGAAAATCTCAATTATGAGTCATGTTCGTTAAAAAAATCTAAAATATTATTAATTAAAAGTAATAGATAAAAATATCGTATGATAAATTTAGTGATTCTAGTTGTGTTAAAGTTACATCTTAGTTGCTATATGTATACTTTCATCGTCAATATATTGTAAACTTTGAACAAGATTACAATCTCTAAAAGTTGCTAAGTCTCAATTTTGTCCATTACTATTATTTTGATTATTCGTGAAGAATTACTCTGAATTTCATTAGTATAGAAGAAAAAAATTATTTGTACACACTTTTTTGTCTATTAACAGGTTATTCATAGACATAAAAATAACATGTTCACAGAATCGCAGACTTGTGTAATGATCTGTACAAAAAAATGTGTACAACTGGCACGACTCTAAATAGAAACATACTGTTATAAATACTCCGTATATAGAATTTGAATTTGATAATGTATGCATTTTTATAAAAATTTATAAATCTATAAATCCCATCATATTCTAATATGGGAATTTCTTATTTGAGTGGATGGCATTTGGAAATTGCTAATTTTATTATTATTGCATTAGGGCCCTTCGAGAAACTGACACAGATAACAATGATTTTGCCGCTGAGCGGTAAGCAATACTCGGAGAAGGTGACGGAGAACTGCGTCGCTTATTGGAAAGGCGCGGGGATATACGGCGATGAAGAGAGCGCAGCTATACAAAAGTTTCTTGATGTTTTCAGTGATCAAATGTTTCAACCTGGCGCCTCTATTCTCTTCACTCACTCACCCCTTGGCTCATTAACGGTACATTTCCATTCAAGAAGGGGATTTTGCTAAAAAATTACTACTACCTCCCTCCCATAATTAACTCCAATTTTGACTAGACACGAGAATTAAGATAGTGAGATTTGTGTGGTGGAGAGTTGTGTAGAGGAGAGAGAAATGTGTAAGAATAGTTGTGAACCACATATTCTTTATTAAAAATGGAAAGAGAAGATAAATTTGGGACGGATGAGTAGTAATTCGTACTCTCTATATCCATATTTTTTCACTCATTAACATCCACTATCAGATTCTAATTTTCGATCAATGAATTATTTGGTTAATCGTAATCTTTTTTTCGATTTATTAGCTTGATGAATCAATTTTTAGGATGTTTTTATTTAGATTGTTTTCAGTCTGAGACCAGACCAGACCAGATCAAATCAGACCAGACTTGGATAGTTACAAAATACTAAAAGATCAGACATTTACCAGACAAGTTCATATAAGATCACACCAGACCACCGAATTAAGTCCAAGTTTAAACATCCTTACGAAACAATACTCGTATTTTTTTACACTTAATCGTATAATAATCAGATTCAGTGAAGTGGTTATTTTTTATACTAAATTTATATAAATTGCTGAAGTAAACCATCTTAGATTTTGTCATATGGGTTTTCTTTGTTTTACAAAAACGATACATTTAATTCTTTTTTCCTCATAATTTAGAAGCTTCACAGTCACTTCGGTCACAATTTCTTTAAATTCGACAATTTGAGTCGTTTCATTCACAATTTTGTTGCAAATTTAGTAAACTTAATGTGGATTATTATAATTATAAATAAACCTATTTACAAAAATATGACTAGAATTACTGTGATTATAATGTTACGGTAATCTAAGTGTAAGAATTGAATATAAATTACTATGACTAATTTTACGACTATAGTTATTACTCTTAAGATGTCACATTTTACCACTATAGTTATTACACCTAAGATGTCACATTTTTGTAAGTAATATTTATTTCAGTCATAAATACGGAGTATGTAATTATTTCGAGGTTGGCCTCAGGCTGCCGACATTTTTAGGATCTTTTAATTAGACTGATTTTAGCTCATGTTAAATCACATTTAGACAATAGTAAAATACACATAATAAACACAATTATCCAACCAAACTAAACTTAAACGGATCAAACCAGAAAATTTCACTCCAACAAACTATTTGAGCCATACAACCCCATTCAAATACAAAGATACTACGTATATAACTATAATATAAGCCCCGAGAATTGATCCTCAGGCAGTCCGCGTTGCACCGGTCGGCCGGCCAAGCCATTTGGGGCCCTTACTAGTGTAGATTACTCCACAAATTTTCAATTTAAAACTTAATCGGGGAGTCAACTAAATAATTTATTGAAACATATTGCGTTTTATGTATATAAATACAACGCAATATGTTTCAACTATTTATTTAACTGACTTCTCGATTGAATTTTAATCTGAAATTTTGTGGGCATAAACTACACTTCTTAAAGAACGTGGCGAAAATATTTCATGAAAAATTCCACCCGGAACGCCCTCAAGTAGCCTTGGCAGGGCGACGGGACGAGTTCCCGTTAGGCGATTCGCACGAGATCACCAACTCTATAACCCCGTGGGGAATTGACACTGTCTTGTATTGCATGCAGATTTGCTTCTCCAAAGATGGGTCAATGCCTGAGACAGCAAACACAGTAATAGAGAACAAGCGACTCTCAGAGGCAGTTTTGGAGTCCATCATTGGGGTCAACGGCGTCTCTCCGGCAGCAAAGCAGAGCCTAGCCCTGAGGCTATCGGAGTTGGTTAAGAGCTCTCGCAATGGCGACACAAATGTTGGTTCAGAGAATTAAGCTATTCCAATTTCCAAACGCAGCCTTGTCTGCATAGAGAGGCATGTTTTATTTGGAAGAGTGTTTTATTTGGAATTAGTCAATGGTGGGGTCGGAGATGTATTAAGTAATGGACAAATAGAGAAATTCTCTTAGGGGGTGTTTGGGAGCCACGGACCCGTTATTATCACAATAAATATCTGACTCATTCCGCTCATCCTAAATTTCATGAAAATTCTGTAACAGTTTATATTTCATTACGAAAATTTTCTTGATATGAAATAAACTTTGGATGTTTTTATTTGGACTGAATTTTCTGGTTTGATCTGATTTTTTTAAGTTTGGTCTGGTGTGAACTGGTTGGTCTGAGTTGTTAAAATCTAGCTTGATCTGATATGATGTGTTAAAGTATGAACTGATTTGGTCTGGTCCGGGTTGAAGTAAGTCTAATTAAAAACATTCATATACTCGTTCTATAACCTTCTCATCTTTGACCTTTAAATTCAATGGCGGTAAACTTAATTAAACAATATCATAGGCAAATTGATTTTGTAATACTTCTGAATCGTATTAAATCGAACCATCCAAAGGTTAATAAAACTAGTTGTACCAAATTAGATTTTTGATAATCCATAATTCCATAGAGGTATTTTTAAACTCAAATTGAACTCTAGTATGACTTTTATTCAATAAACACTCATCTAATTCATTTCAAACTAAGAATCCAAAACGATAAAAACCGAACTAAAACAAAATTGCGACACCTAATCTATTTTAACAAAAAAAATAGTAATTGGATGAAATTGTAACAAATATACTAATCATGGATATGTTCTGAGTTTTTAAACTTTGGATAAAGTCACATTTTTGTTAGGTTATGGTTCTCTTGTCATTAGGTCTTACTAATTACTAATAACATACTCTATCATGGCCATTAAAATTGTTTCACGGTCTTTGACAATACGATAAAAGATTAGACCTTCAATTATTTTTCTTGCTAGAATCGCAACCGGCTTAATCCTAGTAGACTTTCGATTCCTTCAAAATGAGATCAGGCACTACTTCTAGGTTAAGATAAAAACTATTGTATATATTCTTAAATTTTATTATTATCTAATATACGGAGTACTACATATATTACATAATCCTAGTAGGTGATTAGTCATTAAATGTGACGACTCTATCATTTATACATGTTAATATGTGTGTGTACACGGAGAGAGGAGTATTGCTGATCATATTATGCAAAAATGATATAAAGAAAAAACTAATTACTATGTTTCTGACTTGTCAGGACCTAACTGCCTAGACACTCAACGTTGACTGGCTCTCGAGTAGCGCCTAACCCCCTTTTAGAACATTGATTGCAACTCATATTGATTCTTTATAAGGGTAAAGTTAGACGAAATAGGTATTCATAATCAAAAGGTTTGATGTTGTAATCCCAACTTTGGAGAGAAGAACTGCGGAATCGGCCCAAGTCCACCCATACAAGTAGTGCATTTGAATATATTATTCGCTTTGTCCCAAAATGATTTGTAAAATCAACTTTTCTTCATCAATAGAGTTTCATTTTATAAAGGGAAAACTATCAAATAGGTCCCTGTACTTTTACAAAAAAGTCAATCGAGTTCTCGTACTTTAAAGTGAGTCAATCAAGTCGGTAACACCCGATCATCTGCATACGTGGATTTCCAGCTAACCCTCTTTTTTACTGTTTTATACGGAGTACATCTTTTATAATTTTTTATTTTTCTCTTTTCTCTTTCTTTCTTCCTGTCAAGCCGACTTCTTTCCTTTTCTGAGGCCTGGTAATGGTGACAAAAGTGGAGCCGCCCTAGCAGACTCTTGTTGCGGTTCTCGAACATGTCGAGCGGCCAACAAGATTATCGACGGAACCGCCTAGGCCCTAGACAAGGCTTTAACCCTAGTCATTCCTACCACCTCCTTCAGCAAGATGCAATCGTAGCTGGATAACTCAATCGATGACGTGTTTGGATCTTTCAAGTCTCTGCCTCCGGGGATGAGTGCGCCGGAGAACACCTGGGCCTCCCTCCCTCTGCCTCTAACGAGTCCATCTTCCGCCTCATATGGGAGAAAAAAATTGCTCACGTCGGGATAAATTTGACATCTTCCCCTTACACGATCCAAAATTGACTTATTTCCAAAGTCTTGGCTAGCTGGAAGCTATTAATGTGATTAACAACTTCTATCCGAGTGAGAAAGGGGGCCTCTGATCTATCAATGGAGGGATTTCCATGTATGGCGTGATAAATCTGACATGCAAGAAGGGGAATTTCACTTGTTCGAGGCTCTTACTGGGATATGGGCCAATTCACCGGGACTCTGGGAGGAAACTTGAACTAGTGCCGGAGAGAAATGTTTTAATGGAAGGTGATCGGTTGGTTCATACGTAGCGAAGTATTATAGAAAAGAAAGAAAGAAAGAAGTTGCAGATTCGCAGGGAGCAGAGGACAAAGAAGAAATAAAAAAAGAATAAAAGATTATAAAAATAGAAAAAACTAAAAAATGCCAGCTAGATATCCATGTAAGTGAGTAACCAATTACATGCAAGTCATCGGCTAAATAGCTTATTTGGTTGTTTTTTAACATTTCACGGACTAAATTAATTAACATTAAAGTACGCAAACTCAATTGACTTTTTCGTAAAAGTACAAAAACCTATTTAACAATTTTTTCTTTTATAAACTTATTTAACATATCAAAATTTTGTTATATTCTTATTTGAACTTTAAATTTCATCTAAATATGTAAACTTGAAGAATTAAAGCTAATTTAACAGTTATTGTTAGTCAATCTTAACATTCGCAAGTGCAATTCAATGTACGCCTTTTATTTTTGACAAAATATAACTGCAAATCCACAATTGCATGTTTCATTTATTCTCTCTTACTTTTTCATTTCTCTACACAACTTTTTTCTTAATTTTCATGAAAAATGGCAGGAGTACTTTAGATCTTTTTTAATGACTTGCAAGATTTTATCATATTAGATTCTCTCGTTCACCTTATTTGCACCTTTTGAACTTCATCTCCATTCGCTCAAACAGCATTTTTTAAGACGAAAAGAAGGTTTAGACACGTGATACATTTTAGGTAAGGATGAAGTTTTCATTTTCACGTTGTTTTAACAAACCTTCAGTCATCCTCCCCAAACCAATGGTTATCTGACTCTTGACATCCATAACATTAGGGTAAATCACCAAATCATCCCTGGACAACCAAACACAGAATCCATAGCTTTTTTTTTATTCCAAACTGGATCTTGGGCACCTTAGGATCATCTCAGAAGACTTATTGAGGGCCCCCACAAAGCCAGGGAGTAAAGGGTTTTAATTTCTTCTCAATGAAGAAACTCACTCCCACAAGATTCATAGTCAGCAAAACAATCATCTTCTCTTCCAATCAGGAGATAGATCAGACCCCCCGCCCCCCTCCCAAACACTAAGCCAACATAGTCCCCTGTTGGACCATGAAAAACAGTATATCATGCACATAGTATGCAGAGAGTAAGAGATGTCCAGAGATGAACCTCACACCAGCCAGCTTTGGAATAGTTACCCACATGAAGTGCAGATGGTCTCTCATAAATTTGAACAGTGAAGTAATTATTATTATATTATAAAAACAAACGTCAAAGAAGCTCTCTTCCCCATCTTGCCCCCAAATTAAATCTTCACATTCATGCAATATTCTCAACCAAAGTATCAAAATGATTTCAACAAATCTTGAGACATCGTGGAGAAACAAGCTTAAAATGTTTTGCTCATCGTCTAGAGGAATCAGTACTGTGGAAATCTCCTTTCTGTCTTGCTCATATCTGCTGGCTGATATTTGAGCTAAGGGTAGTAGTATCTACAAAGACTTATCATAAACAAGTCAAAACCTTCTCCTTTTCATCCCATCGTCATGCCAAACTTGGGGGGCGTTTGGTCGATAGTTCCCTTCTTGCTCTTCAGCATTTCTCATTCTCCTACTATGTGCAATTCTGGTCCCGTTTTTCATGCGCCCATCAAATTCCCTTTCCCTTTCCCTTGTGCTGTTTCTCTCCAAGAACTCTGAATCTTCATCTGAAGAACACCTGAAACTCCTAGGTCCATCATCCCCAGGATGAAAACGAAAATTTTCGTTCTCATCATTGTTATTATTATATGGAGGCCGGAAAGAACGGGAAATTCCCCGTCTGTCACTATACTTTCTGCTTGAATTTACGGGCCCACAATAGTAGTCGTCGCTATCCACTCTCTCTCGACGATTCATACCTTCGTGTCTTCGGGCATTTCGGGCAAAGAGATGGTGGTTAGGACTTCTTTCTTGCATAGCATCCACATCCCTCATGTTATTAGTAGAACGGGGGCCTGCGTATGATGGGGAGTTACGCCTTCTAGGAGCCATATCTTCAGAAAAATAATCACATTCTGCGGGAGACCTCATCCTATCTACACGATGATAAATGACCGGAGATTCATCTAATCCTTCCATAGCTCTTCGGCGAGAAGAACACCAAGGGGCAGAAGGGGAATGTCTTTGAGATGATTCATCAGGAGACTTTGATCGCACTCTAGAATAACCACCTCTTCTTTGAATGGATGTGGGGAACATTTTCTTACCGCGGGTGAATTGCCCATCTCGTCTATTATATGAGGAGTCAATCATATCAAACCTTTCGCCATGCCCATGTCCAACCATTTCAGAACTGTCTTCATCAGTACACCTACTTGGGGGACTATTGTTTCTAGGGATCCTAGTGCCATGTCTTTGAATGCCCCTATCAACAGGAGAAAGTCTTCTTGATGAAGAATGCCGAAAAGAAGGAGACCCGCTATTCAATAGTTTCCTTCCTCTACTTGATGGACCCAAAACAGCTCCGTCAGGTGGTGAAATGTCAAAGTCATTCCGTTCAACATTAGCATCATCAATGGCAGAAGCACGTTGTTTATGTCTACTGCCAAAACTGTAATCATCCATCCGGTTATTATTATTATTATAGCTAAAATGACGATCAGAGTCCCAATCGCGGCGGGACCGACCAAAACGACCCGAACCTCGTCCTCTTCCACGCATGAAACTTACCTGGTTGGACCTTTCATATGTCCGTTCTCGAAATCTGTCCCTTGTGTATTTGTTTGAACCATCACCATACATTTCGCCTCTGAAAAAGGGAAAAACAAAATCAGGTGCTATCAACTGTTAAACACAGCAAAAAAAATGAAATATATAAAACTCCGTACATGATTACAGATTTAAGAAACTTTAGTAGAGTTAAAGAGTATATAATTAACCTATTCCCACTTGGATGAAAATTCCCATCCTGTACATCAAAGTATCGCCCCCTTCCACTTCGTGATGACAATGGTATACTGATGACAGGTCTGGATTTACTAGGGGAAGTGGAATGAGAAGCCCGTGGCAAATTGATAATCCTACTCTTAACTGCACAACAATCCTTCGTGTCATTTCCATTTAGAGGTGTTTCTGGATTGACCAAACAGGAGTTTAACTTCTCTCCTTCGTCAGTTCCGATAGCATCCTCGTCAACAGAGATCTTGGAAACAGTAACTCCGGTCTCATTGCTTCCATTTAACGATACATCACATAAAACACCCTCTATACTGTCCACCCCTTGCCTATTGTCTGCTCCTTTATCAAAATGCATCTGGTGAGTATCATCATTTGCAGGCATAGCATCATGGAACCATTTTTCTGGAACATTTTCTGATATCGAGATTGAGGCAGAACCATCCCTTTCTGAGAGTTGGTCAACTATCTTTTCAGAAACTGTGATCCCACCACAATCTTCCATACAGTTCGTGATAGTTCTCATCTGATGATAGGTGATGGTTTCATCTTTTCCTGCAACACCAGATTGAACAACATTATCATCACCTAAAGCACCCATAGGACGACTATGGGATTCAACAACCTTTTCTGTATCTGATCCCTCAACAATTGGCTTTTCTGAATTTGATTCTAATACAGGCTCCCGCACCTCACCGTCTTCATAATCGTCATCTTCCTTTCCACTAGGCCTTCCTTCTTCATTAGTAATAAAAGCATGATGATGACCATCCGATTCATAATCATAACCATAAGATTCTTCTTCCACGTCAGCTGATATATTCATATCTTGTTCACCACTCAGAGATCCCTCACCACTTGCAGCCAGAGAATGAGACTGTTCATTAGCTTGCTTCAAATAGGATGTTTTTGAACTGTCGACATTTACAAGCTCTGCCTTAGAACAAGGTGCATTTAGTTCTTCTAGAGCAGAATGTTCATTTTTTGTAACCATACCAGCATTTATCTGATCTAATGCATTCTTACAAATGTTGACTTCTTTAGTATGAACAGAATGCTCAGATTGATTGGATAACTCCCCACTGACGGACAACTCTGAAAAGGAGGGCAGTTTTGTAGTGAATGGCTTTTCAGGTGTCAAAGGCACGCAAAAAGTGGAACACTCTTTTGATGGTACAACATTTCCAGCAGATTGGTGCAACTCCATGCTGGACGTCCTTCCACATGTTTCTTGATTGGGTTCCTGCATAGGTTCAGATTTTATTGATTTTTTCTCAATCACTTTTTGAATATCGAATTCAATAGGTTCTACGTTTCCCTCCTCAATAAGTTTCAATTTCAATGAATTACTACTATTCAGTATTTTGGCAGTACTATTGCTAGAACCAGGGTAATCCGATCGTGAGCTATTATCAATAGGTTCTTCCTTTACATTTCCACAACCAACAGCATTCAAGTTCATAATGGTTCTTGGAGGAGCATTAGAGTGTGAGATTGAGTCTGCCTTGGATGACATTGAACAGAACTGTGCCCTGCTTAAATCCAAACCACGGAAAGTACTGCCAAGACTAAGGCAAAGTGAATCACCAGACTTGTATGGCAGGCTAGATTGTATACAAGTAGCTGAAAAATGACATATCTGCTCAGGCGAGCCACAGACTTGCTTCCCTTTATCATTGCAAGCACCATCCATACCATATGGGCTTAAACTAGACTTTCCCATGTTGCAAATATTATCCTTTTCTTGAAAGCCTTCACCAGAACCCTCCCAAGTATCCATAGTAGTGTTCAAATCCCAGTTTGATCTATCAGTATCACGACTAACATTACTTGACCCACTGTTTGAATTTCTCATTTGAGTTGTTGCCTTTTCTTTGTTTAAAGACAGAGATAACAATGACGGATCTAAACTACCAGACAACTCGGAACCTCCTATATCTTGCAGTCCCAAAGAAAGGATTTGCCTTTGTGATCGTCCTATAGACAATTTGGCACTTCCCGGATGCACAGAAGGTTGGATTTTTTTGTGACAGTCATCTTGTTTGATCGTGGTTTCCATCTTAACACCCACGTTAGTGTTCTCTACAACCCCAATGCTGTTTTCAGCTATATCTGCCTTAACACCATTGTCAACATTATCAGCATGACCTAAGCAAGCCTTTGCATTAGACACCTGGAGTTTGGATCCAGAAGATTCCGCATTAGATTGGGCAGAAGTAATGTTTTCTTGGGAAGATTGAAACCGGCAAGTTACCTTACTAGATAGGAAAGATTTAGATCCATCTATAGTAGATTGGTCTGAGGTAAATTCCATTTCGGAAGGCCTAGATGCAGAGTGTTTTTCCGTATACTGTACAGATGAATTTTTTGTGTGGACGGGTTTGGATCCAGAAGATCCATCCATAAGCTGGGCAGATGAAGCATTTGCTTCAATAGGACTTAATCCAGAAGGTTCCTCAGAAGGTTGGACAAACACATCATCAGCTTCAGTAGCCTTGGTTCCAGAAGGTCGCTTGGTAAGTTTGGTAGAGGTACCATCTTCTTTAACATCAGCTAGCCTTTCTTGTTTTCCCTCCACAAGAGGATTTTTGCTATCAGATTTGCTGGCAGAGTTAATAGCATCAACAGGGTTGAAGGATGATCTTGGGATAGAACCTGATTGTCTTTTCTTTGCATCACTTTCATCATGACAAGAAGATGGCTCTTCACTTGGAGGCGAAGAAGGCAAAACAAATGGGAACCTTCTCTTCTTTATTGGTATACCAATCAATGAGCTACTAGTCTGCATCCCAAGCTGCATATACAAGATATATATGATTCCAATCACTACAATAGATAGGAAACTATATCTAAGATTCCAAGAAGGAAAAACAAAACAGACATTAGATGCAAACCTCTTCCTTCCCGGAAACTGGAATGAATATATCAGAAAACTCTGAAGATTTAGTCTTTTGCCAAAGCCAAGTATCACACAGCAGTGTGACACATATGATCGCTCACATATAGTTGGGTAAAGAATACTATGCACTCAGAAGTTTCATCTGAGGTTATGAGGAAGAGAGAATTTTCGGTTAGCTTGAAACTCATATACAATATTAGGCTTTTACAGTTCACATGAGAAGGAATCAAAATTTGAATAATGTGGACCACTTCAACTAAAAGATCAAATGAATTACACATTTATTTTCTATATTATTATTTATATCTAGAAACCTAAACCTTCGAAAATACAAGCATCTAAAGAGTAAGATGCAATTAATCCCTGATGAAGGAAAGCTACCTAAACCTAACACATGGAACAGGATTGGAAAACCAGCTAAAAAACTAACAAATTATGCTCCCGTCAATAACTTCACCTACCCAACAAAACCCTTTTCCAACGAAAGGCAAAAAAAAGAACTCCTTTTTTTAGAAAAATCGGGGGGAAATAATGAATTTCACCAAATCAACTGTACCCCTACGCCAATCATAGGAGAGACATATTAATCGAAAAACATATTGTAGCAGCCAGATCCAGTTCTTATACGGAAAAAAAGAAAAGAAAAACCGAAGCTTACGGAGAAAGAAAAGAAGAAGGAACCTTTGATTTGTTGTTCTTCACGCGGAGAGAGGTGAGGGAATCTTTGACATGAGAGAAAGGGAAAGTGTAGTGTGAAAACAAGAAAGAGGAGAGCTGTAGGGCTGATGGGAGTAGATATAAGCTTATGAATGAATGAATGTATTTTAATGGCCGAGTGAATAATAATTGATTGAATGATAATGGAGTCATAATAATGATAATAAAGATAAGCAAGAAAGTAAGAAACCCTAATTAATGCAGACTCTTTTGACCTTTTCTTTCCCACTAGGCCACTACTGGTGATTAGCGCATATGGTGGCATGGGTCCGCTGCAATTCGTCCACTGTTTAATCAAAATCTTTTTGAAAAAATTGTCCTAAATAGGACTAAAATTTGGTTAAAATTTCACAATAGGACATTAAGTTTATTATTCCCTAAATAGGACTCCTAATTACCTTTTTACCCTTCATCTAATAAAACCCCAAATGGCTATCGGCTCCAACGCAGACCAACAGTGATCAGATCCGCCCAAGCCATCTACGATGAACACGATTTGGAATGAAGACACTCAGGCCATCTGCGATGAAGATCCACAGCGATTTGCGATGAAGACGCTCAGGCTCACCTTCTTCTCTGGCGACATCCATGTAATATTCTTCTTCCTCTTCATCTTCCTCTTCTTCATCTTCTTCTTCTTCTTCCTCTTTTCTTCCTTTGTCTTCTCCTTCCCATCCACTTTGAATCTAGGTACTCTGTTTTCTTCTTCTTTAATTATTTATTTATTTTATTAATTTTGATTACTTTGGAACCTCAAAATGCCATAAATTACAAGCAATTAGAAACTGACATTACATTTATCAAAATGACAGTATGATTTGCAACTGACATTGTTACTCAAAAATTGACACTTTAAATATGTCATTTTTGTTTCGAAAATGTCATGAGAATGACATCATTACTCTTTCGAAAATGCCATAAGATGTCATTCTCTTTTTTGAACTGTCATTTATTGATTATTTGAAAAAATGTCACTTTTATGTTATTACACTATTTGGAAATGCCATATTGAGAATGTCATGTTTCTATACGAAATTGTCATTATTGTGTCATTATGCATATCAAATGGCATTCTCGCATATCATGTGTCATTCTCGACGGAGATTACAGGGACTTGTCGGAGAATGGCGGTTTCATCGGAAGATGGTGGCGGCGAACTCAATGAAGGGTGGCGGAGGCGGCGGACCTGATGGAGGATGCAATGTTGCGGTACTGGAGGATTGTTGCCGCACACCTAGAACTTGGAGGATGACAACGCTGGATATTGTTACGGCAATTCAGGATGGCTGCGAGCACCGGAGGCTATTTTTGTCTAAACACAAATATTTACTCCTATTTAGAGAATTTTAAACAATTGGTCCAGTTTTCTCAATTACCTGAACTTTTACTCCCATTTTGGGAATTCACTCAATCTTTTTATTTAAAAAATAAACTTGTAGCTTTTGATCTCCCAAAAAAGTCACAGGTTCAAGTCTTATGAGGCGGCAGACGGATGAGATTTGAGGCAGTGGACGGATGAGAGCAGAGGCAGCGGACGACTGAGAGCAGAGGCGGCGTCCGGGTGAGCTGCAGTGACGGCGTCCGGGTGAGCTGCAGCGTCGTCGTCGTCTGGGTGAGCTGCAGCGGCGGCGGTCGGGTGAGCTGCAGTGGCGGCGGCCGGGTGAGCTGCAGTGGCGGCGGCGGTCGTGTGAGCTGTGGTGGCGGCGGCGACCGGGTGAGCTGTAGTGGCGGCGGCGGTCGGGTGAGCTGCAGCGGCGGCAGATCTATGGACAGAGGAGAGGTGAAGCAGTCTATGGTCTTCGCATTGTGGTAGGGTTTTATTTGTTTTGGGGTTTTTATTTAAGCCACTCATTTGAAATGAGTTACTTTTTTGGAAAAGACAAAAAGTGTCATAGATATGGAAATGAAAACACCGGAGGTAATTTCTTATTTCGATGTAATTTTTATAATTTTATAATTATATCCGTATGTTGGTATGTGAAATAGAGTAAAAGTTTTATATGTAAAAATTCAATATATACTTGCATGAATATATTAATGTATATAAATATGTATTGTATACTTGTTAGATTTAGGTTCAAATGAGAAAATTATCTTAGGAGAGAAAAAGAATAAATATGGACCCTTAGATCACACCATATTATACTTATACGACTTCTGTTGGCAAAGGCTATTGTTGTCCTTTTCATTCCCATTTAATTTGCATAACCGTGCAACACTCCCTCAAAATCAAGACTTATACTCTTTCCTTAACAATTTTGCAAAGCATGTGATTTGTTTCCATATTAATTCCGTCTCTCTTTTATGATTTCCATTGTTCATTCTTGCCTTCTTCGTGTCAATTTTACTGTCAGAAACGTGACTATTAATCGCCGCCGCTTCTGTCATTGCTTTTGTCATGTCTTCGCCGCCATTTTTGCCACCGGTTATTACGTACCTTCCTCTCCGACGTTGCTTCTGCAGTTCTGCCATGTCTATGAGGGCCACGAAGAGCTGTGAATCAATCATAACTCGAACATAGTATCTCCACATGTTCTAGTTCGGTGCAATACTAAGTGGCGGGTATGCCTCGGAAGACATCATCCTTGAACCAATTGAACTATGAGGACTAACCAACCATTCCGGCTCACTGGATGGGAGGTTACCGTGTCCTAGCGGAGGTCTCGGTGTAACACCGGACTCGAATTTTTGCCCAGAGAAATTTTTTTCATCAAGTAAATGGTTAACGAAGGTAAATCAAGACTAGAGTAGCCTTGATAAATGAGAAAGATAAGATTATTGTCTTAAATTAATAAAGGATTATTAATGAGACGCGGGACCCACATCGGAAGCGGGGACCACCTGTGGTATTCTTAGCATATAAGAAAATTAATGTTGATTTAAATAATACTATTTTGATAGTAGGAATGAGTCATGGACCCCAACGATATATAGATGAAAACTAGACAGCCACGTGGGTCAGGGCCACTAATCGATAATTGTGAACCCTTAATTCTCGGACTATTCATAATTTGGAAGGCTATGAATTAATGATTAAAATTGGTACATTAAAGGAGGATACTTTTGGAGGACCCCTACCTTGAAGATATTTTTGTATGAGGACAAACAGATAAGATTTTACCTGCTCATACATTTTGGACCACTTAAAAAGAAGTGTAACATTTTATTAAATTGTCACAAAATATAAAACCACATGTTAAGACGTGAGAAAGGACGGGTGAATTCTCGATGCAACGCATTCTCATTTGTACTGTTACTCGAACAGTAAAATGCACGTTGGGCCCATACACAGGCGGGGACCATCTGATATTTCCGAGACCACACATTATATTCATCTTGGTCTAGATGATATTCTTATGATGGTTTATATTTATGTTTAGCCATAGAGTTGGCCGTTTGAGCAAAAGCAGTCCCATTTTTGGTATCGGTAATTTAACAGATAATAGCCCGAAATAAATTCCAGGGACCGCTAAATTAAAGTGGGATAATATTTATTAATTTTAGAGTCCAATATTAATTGTAAGGATGATTTATATTTTATTTGACCCGATAAAATGAAATTTAATTAAAACAGTCCGGAAAATATAACTTTCGAGACCAATTGTACACTTCGAGACATATTGGGATGACCTCCAACATGAGTGGGGGCCACCCCACGTTTTTGTGAGATCAAGCATCAATGTGTGAGCTGTGGAACATGGTATGACACTAATTGATAGGTGAATAGATGGGAGAGACATGTTTGATAGGTAAAGGGGTCCTCTCCCATCACCCATTTGTGTTTTGAGACAAAAAGGACCATCTCAATCCCTTCCCTCTCACTATTTCGGCCAGCACACTAAAGAAAGAGAGGAGAGACTCTAGAACTCATCATCCTCCATTGTTGAAGCAAGATCAAACCAAGGGAGGTCCAAGGAAGAAGAAAGAGTGAGAGAAGAAGAGAAAAACTTGGAAAATAAAGGTAATGACGTCATTAGTATTTTTCTTCCTTCATTTAATCTCATATGATTTTATAAATCATATGATAGACCCATAAGCTTGTTCTACACTCAGGGGCGGACCGTAGTAGAGACCCAGGGGGGCTACCGCCCCCCAACAAATTGTTTTTTAGTGTATATATATACGAAAAATGATTTTTGTTCTTCCAAAAAGTATTTTGAACCCCCCCAAAATGACTTTCCTGGGTCCGCCCCTGTCTACACTACACTCCTAGAGGTGTAGAATGAGGGGTTGAAAGGATAGTTTTAACCATGATCGGAGTTATGACCGGAGTAAGACCGGTTCGTCGGAAAACACCTTCTCGGAGGATTTTGACATTTATACCACTTTTGATTTATGAAACCTTGTTAGGAATTTTACCAAGGTATTCTAGACTTTTCAAGGAATCTAGGAGTGGCCGGAAAAGTCACCGGAGCCGTCGGAGTTTTCGCCGGAAAATTCCAAAAGTCGTCGGAGTTCAAACGAAGAGGATAAAAGCTTGCTAGCATCATTTCGAGGTGAGTAGACGACTACGTGTCTTGTAACTCTTGGGTCAAACGTGGGATTACCTAAATAAAATCCTTATCATGATTTGAGAAATGATTAAATGGATTAAAATGCATGATTAGTCATGGTGAATATGAATTATGGAAATATTACATGATTAATGAATAAGAGATTTATTTGTGGATTAATCATGAATATATTATTGTCAAATGTATGAAAATGCATACATGGACTATGTATGAGATAACTAGAGTAATCTAGTATGTGAATATGTATAGAAATGTTTAAATGTGTTTAAACATGTGATTAGCTATAATGATTATAAGTTATGTGAAAATGGCATGATTAATGAGTAAAAGAATTATTAATATTTTTGATGAAGGATAATCATGAATGATTTAGTTGGACATTAACTAAGGTAATTCAAGATGGTATTCTTGAAGAATTCAAGTACTTAATCATACATGTCATTAAATTAAATCTAGTTATGAAGAATAAACTAGAACGAAATATATAAACGATTAATAAGTATGAAGTACTTATTAATAGTTGTGTGAAGACAGCTTTATGCTTTATAACTTTTGATTTAGACATGAGATTACTTAAAGTAATCAAGAATATATTTTATGGAATGATTAAAGATAATCAAGTATG